AGCAAAAGGAGAGGAGATTAGTTATTATGAAGGATAGCATGTACAGAGTAAAGGTGTATGTGTTGAGTTAAGTGTAAATCGGAAGGATGAAGGGACTGTGCAGGCAGTTACAGTCGATCTGTCGGAGTAAGTATCTTTTAATGGTTGCGGTATAGTTTAGGACTTTTAAAGACATTGTAACTGTTGTAGATGTTATGTTATGTAATAATGATCTGACGAATGCTTGAAAAAGAGTGTAATCCAAGCTCGTGCACAACTCGTCAGGGTGGTTGTGATTTTAGACTTGACTTTTGAAATAGGTAGTACTTTTTTGTCCATATGGCAACACATTGCGTCGAATTAACTGAAAACCGGGCTTGATCCGGGTACTTGGATATAGTCGGCGGTTCTCCGCGGTGTCGTCAAATGTTGCGATGGTGATTTTTTTGAAATTTTTTCGAAAGCTGTCAAGTAACTCGGTTATGTTTCAATTTAGTTTAAAAGATGTAAGAGAGAGTATGTTCAGTGTTGACGCGAGAGTGCGGTAGCGCACGCGGGTCTTAGAGAATGATCTGCACGTCAGTTCTGGGACACCCCTGTATAGAAAGATGAGGATTTTCATATACAACTGTTAAATATTGATAAATTTAAAACAGCGGGATTTTATTAAGTTCGTTGTTTGTTTTCCGCGATGGCATGCTGTTAAGAGATGTGCAGTTATGGATCGTAGTGAAAAAAGAGTAGAATAAACGTAGTACGTTTGAAAGCCCTCAGAGGTGAGATTAAAACTCATGACTTTAAAACGAGCGAGGATAGGTGTAAAGAAACTTTATTTGCCCGTGCGGCACGTTTGTTTAAGATTGCGTTCATTTTTTGAAAAAGTGTTTTATTCTTTTCATAAGTTATTCGGGATTTAAATGGAAGTAGTTTGGATATGGCGTTTGTCGCCTCAGCCTGAATATCTGGTGGTAATTTACTTATTTCGTTTGGTAATTTACTTATTTCGTTCTGGTGGTAATTTACTTATTTCGCCAATTCAATCAGCAATCGACACGAAAGAGAATCTTGTCTTGTATAAAAAATAACTACATATTCTTGAATACTTTCGGGTGTGCTTAGGAGATATTTTCAACAAACTACTAATAATTTTAGACGTTTTTGTAGTAATTCTAGGTCAGATAATGCTATTCCTGAAGCTGAGAGTCCTTTAGATGATCAACATCAACGACAGGAAGAGACTTTTGTTGATGATGACGATGAAGAACCGGAACTTCCACCAGCGCTACCCATAATTCAACCGTTGAGTTCTAGGGAGGTGTCTTTGGAAAGTTTAGACATGATTCTAAAGGTAATGATGGTTAATTCTCAATCAGAATATGAAAAAAAAAAAACGACGTTATAATACGCGTAGAAGTAGACTTTTTTTAGTGTATATAAAATATTTTCTTTTTTCAATTGAATATAAAAATATAGCATCAATTTGTTTAATTAGGAAAGGATGTTGTCTAATGCTGAGTACAACAAGAGTTACCACCAGAACTATGAGCACGAGCAAAACCAGCAAGAAGAGGACGAAATTCTTGAAATAATCGAGGTAGAAGAGCCACTGGAACCAGTACCAATGATAGACAGCTGTTTACAGGTACAATTTCAAACTTAAAATACTTTCTAAAGTTTTATAATCTTAAACAAGGATACATTATCTATAATTTGCCTATTTGCAGTCTTATTACATCATTTTGTGGTTGATTGGTTGAAAAGAAAGGTTTTGTTATATTTTTTTTGGGATTGTAGGTTACGGAAGAAGATATAGCGTTTTGTATGGGTTTCTCAGAAAATCCTTTACCTGAAGTGGACCAAGAAAATCCTCTGGATCATCCCCTGAGGATACTGAGCCAAGAAAACCTAACTGTAGTTTCAACTTTTACAGACTCTATGTCAGTTTATACAGATTTGGAAAGGATATTACCCAGGCATAGGTTTGTAATTAATAAAAATTGCAGACATACCACGACGTACCTTTAAAAACGTCTTAATTCGAGGTGGCCAAAAAATGACAGATAACAACTGTCACTGTTGAGTATTCTCTATTACACAATATACAAATACTAATTAAATATTTTTGAATATTTTATTTGTATTTTCCTTTAGGTATGATAGGTATTATGATGACTATGAAGATCCGGACAATCCCTATCCTAGGACAAACGGGAATCTGTCATTTGATGACACAACTAGAAGAAAATTTGACCAATTAGCACGATTGCACGAACTTTACACAAATAGATTGGCGAAAGCAACTGTGGGAAATTCAGAGACATACCAAGCTCAAAATAGTAGTAAAAAGTACGATAGTGACAATAGGATACTGACAAGGTTAGTACCACTAAAAACAGTGTCAGTATAACGTAATATTTATATTTTTATGTCATTTACAATAGAAATTTTGAATCACTTTGAAATATTTTTTTTACCAAAATTTCAACACTAACTGTTACTGATCTAAAGTGAACTCTACAAATTTTGAATAAGACATTTTTTGTAGCTTTTTTATTTTTTATATTTTTGTCGTCATATACATAATATGTTGGAAAATAACTACCAAAGATATTACAAAATATAGTTTTAAGTATTCATACAGGGTGAGTTTCCTACGAAGTTCTCTATGGGTATCTCGGAAACTACTGAAGGTTATGAAAAAAAGAGGAAAGAATGAGGAAAGAATTGCAGTTTTGTTCAATCCCTAATGAGTTTATGTTCTCCGATTTTTTCTAAAGCCTGTTATTTTTGACATATGACACAAACGTATGTTTTTTTTTAAATGGAAACTATAGTTAGCCATGATTTCATAAAAAGCGCTATTTTTTAAGCTTTTTAGTCTAAGTTTGCATTTTCGGCAAATTTCTGAAAATTTTCTTTGTTTTAACTGACATAAAATGATAACTAGCTGTTAAAGTTGGATTAATTAGACAGCTATGTTGAAGTAACATCAGACAAATCACAGTCAATTAGATTTTGTAAAATAATAAATAAATAAATGCCTTTATTGTCAAAAAATTTTTCAATTTGTAGACAAAGGTAAACTAACAAACAAAGTCAAAAAACAAGGTACACGAACAAACAAACAAAAGATAATACAAAACATTATACAAATAATATTGTCAGTCTTATTGTTTAAAATAAAGGTTTATAAATGTTTACATTGTCAAAGAACAAAAAAATAAAAATAATATTCAAAAATATTTAGATAGTTTATAGTAAAATATCAATGACCTCTAAATAAATTTATTTCGATGTCATTAGTAAATATAGCAATAGCAAACATTAGATCAGTGTTTACAAGATCAAATTCGATTTTCAAAATATAATTCATTTACGGCGTAGAAAGCCTTGTCTAGTAAATAACAGTTCAATGCTTTGCGAAATGAAAAAAATGATGTTATGGATTTGATTTCAAATGGCAGGTGATTGTGCATTTTTTTCGAGTTGTATAATATTAAACTTTTAACTAATTCTGAGCGTGGGGTAGGTAGATAAAGATCTTGCTCCGCGTTCCTGAGTGGATAAGTGTGAGATGGCCGTTCTTGAGAAGCTGATACATGTTTACGTATTAGGCAAACGGATTCAAATATAAATAAGGAAGGAAGAGTCAATATTTTTAATTCTTTAAACAAGTCCCGGCAATGAGTTCTGCTGTTTAGTCCCAGTGAATATCGAACAGTTCTCTTCTGGAGCTTGAAAATGCGGTCAAATTGAGTCGCACAACACGTACCCCAGAATAGAAGGGCATACCTGAGGTGCGACTCAAAAAGTCCATAATAAACAGTTCTAGCCACTGACAAGTTAAGCTCCTTAGAAACAAACCTTAATGCAGAACAGGCAGAGCTCAATTTTTTCGACAAAGCTTCGATATGTATGTCCCATTTCAGAGAATTGTCCACAACAAGCCCTAAGAATTTTACAGATTTTACGACGTCAATGGTGGTGTTGTTAAGTACAAAAGGCTGCAACGTGTATAAGACAAAGCTTTAGTTTTAGAAATGTTGAGACTCAGGAGGTTCGAATCGCTCCAAGATTTAATGGTGATTAAGTCATTTGATACAATCCTATATATAAGTGCCGTGATGTCCTTGTTGCTCCAAGTGAAGCTAGTGTCGTCCGCAAAAAGACATATTTTGCCACTGATGTTTATGTTAGCAATGTCGTTAATAAAAAGAAGAAACAAAATAGGGCCTAGTATTGAGCGTTGTGGTACTCCACATTCTATTGGCTTGCTAGAAGACAACGTGGTATCCACCCTAGAGGTGTGTAGTTCGTGAACGAACTAGTTCCAATGAACTATTCCGACCCCGGAATGAAAGGAACTAGTTCCTGGTTTCTCAAAGGACTAGTTCATCAGGACCTATTCCGGGATCGAGACTGTGTCGGATATAGAATAATATGCGACGGCGCCGGATCGGCTAGCGCGCGTAGCCCGGTGGTAGGCAGGAGTGGGGAGTGCCAGACGTACGTTATCGGATCCGGACTTAGAGGAACTAAACTAAATAAAAGACTAGTTTAGGCAGGAATGGGGAGTGCCAGCCTTATGCCGTATGTTATCGGATCCGGACCTAAAGAAACTAGAGGAACTAAATAAAAGACTAGTTTACGTACGAACGGATCGGGCCAGCGCGATCGATGCTAGGCAGGAATGGGGAGTACCAGCCTTATGCCGTATGTTATCGGATCCGGACCTAAAGGAACTAGAGGAACTAAATAAAAGACTAGTTTACGTATGGATCAGTCAGCGCTAGGCAGGCGTGGGGAGTGCGAGCCGTATATTATCGGATCCGGACATAGAGGAACTATTAAAAGACTAGTTCACGGGAATCTATTCAGTCGGCAGATCCGAGATATAATACAAGGCGACGACGATGGATTCGGCCTTCTATTGCCGCAGCCGGCGCGGCGCGGCGTAATCATCCCAGAAAATTGTCGTGGATACTGTTTTTGATTTTTAGTTTGTTTTTTAAATAGTTTATGGGAATGTTTCACTTTAGGTCCCTAAAATTAAGAAATATCTTATAAAACGAAGTAGATATTCCGAATTTTTAGACAAAAACAACAAGCTTGAAGTGAGGAAAAATGCAATTTTTCGTAAAATTTTTGTAATATTTGCTCCAATTGATTTGTGATATAGTTTTTTAAATTCTGATTTGAGTTTTTTTTAATTTTTTTTATCTGCTATAAAACTTACCTATATGTTTTTAACATACACAATTACACGTCTCGTTATATCTCCGTACAGTATAAAAATTATACAGATCATACTGTGAATAGTTCTGACTGACAACGAAACGCATTAGCAAGCAAGGGGGATGTCAGTGTTAGTCGGGAACTATTGTGAACTAAAGACCTAGTTCAAGGAACTATTCCTCTGGAGGAACTAGAACTAGGGAACTAGTTCCTCCCAAGGAACTAGAATTCCCACATCTAATCCACCCTCACAAGTTGACTTCTGTTGCTCAATAATAAAGTTATCTACTGACACTAAATCATGTAAATGAAAATATCTAGGAAAATCTTTGTTTGAGGGTAGGCAACCAGTAGTATTTTTAAAAGACATGAATTCCCCATTGAATATCGGAATAATATACTGGGTGTTCCATTTAAAATAAAAGAGTAACTTGCTTGTAAAGGTGACCAATGTTCAATATTAATTTTGTCTCACCCTGTATAACTTTCTGGATCAAGTTTTAATTTAATTTAAAGTACTATAGTTAATTTAACTACATATTAGGCTATACCGTGTAAATTCCAAATTAGGTAGCTTTTATTGTAATTTAAAAATAGTTCTTCATTTTCACAAAATGGGAAATATGTCAAAAATCCTTAGATTTTAGGTGTATGCTTCTTTAATAAAACTCACCTTTATTTTTCTTAGAATCCGAAAATCAATTAATATATAGGGTGTTCCATTACAAAAACACAACTTTGATATGTAACTTTTGTGGGGACACCCTGAAGAACTCTCTATATTTTTAAAAAGTGCTCTGAATTAATCTACATATGCTCACAAAATTTCATTTCAATACAAAGTGTCTTTCTCCTTTTAGCCTCCGCGTCGTATGAAGGCGCCACCCTGTATAATTAAAAATATACGCAATTTTATGATTAATTTATTTACTTATTATTAATTTCTTTTTAGGTGTGAAAGTCTGAGCCTAAACGACATGCTCTACGGCGGCGGCACCACCCAAGACCTCCACGACAACAGCAGCATCTACTCGGAACCGGCCTACGTCCAGGAAAAATTCTGCGAAAACTGCAAAATCAGTATGACCCGACCAAACACCGTCCAGAACTGGTACGAGAACGCGTTCCTCAGTGCCAGCACCCAAGACCTCTCCCGTCACAACGAACCGCACAGCAGAACCAGCAGCCGGTTCCAAAGGAACCACTGCCACACGAAAACCACCTCCAGCAGCATTAGGGAAACTAACCTGGCTTTTTACGACATCCCGACGGCGCATCCAACCCCAATTTACTCAAAGAGACAGCGTTTAAGTCGACGAGTGGATGTGATGCGCCGTCAGGCACCGAGACTGAGTCGAGGGGAAGTATTACTGCGCAGCCTCCGTCTGTGCCGTGCTCGCTGCCCGTGACGGAGCGGGTGAACAGGGCTGTGTTGAATTTGGAGACGGGCATTACGGCGGTCAAGTTGGGCAGTCAGAAGAACGAAGAGTACGACTCTGGGCATGACTCGACGCCTAGGACTTCGAAGCATAGTCCGGCTGCTATATCTAGGAGAGCTGAAAGTGGGTACGATTCTGTGGTAAGTGTTAGTTTTTAAGAAAAAAAAATTAATTCAAACTCCTATATCTTTGTTATTTTTAGCCCTATTTTCATGATTTTTAAGGTGTATACAGGGTGGCCCATCGAAAACGTTCCTGCAAGGCCTAACGGCCAGGGTATTTATTTTTTCAAAAATCAAAAACACGTCAATTTTGTTTGTGAGGGGGACAACTTTTGCCCCAAAAATGATTGCAAAATATTCAACCCTCTAAGCGGGGGTGTCGTTATGCCTTGCGGAACGTTTTCGATGGGCTACCCTGTATAATTATATCAACTTTAATTCGTACACTAAGTTTTTATAAACTTTAGTATTTGGCATATTATACAGGGTTAATCGAGAGGTTGTTTTTTTACTCTAACTTTAAAACACCCTGTGCAATAATTTCGTGTGTAAATTTTCCTAAAATTTTTTTTCTGTTTTTTGTAGGTGCGTGACAGTGAAAGCAGCTCCATCGACTCAGAACCTACAAGGTTCGCTACGTGGGCAGAAGAGGCAAATGCAAGCACAAACATGAAAAAAGCTTCTGCTCGTGGTTCCTCAACCCCTTCACCTGTAAATACATAGACGAACCCCCCGAAACGCACTTCTAGGGGTAAATTTGACGAATTTAAACGTATACTCTTCTAAAAAGGGTCTAAATATCTGTGAAACCAGCTTGGATAGCCACACAGGCGTTTTTTTTTCGAGATTTTCAAGCTTTTTATGGTTGTAATCGATACTTACTGACATTTTCACTGCCTAAATACAAACCCGAACTGATTTTAGATATCTTTTATACTGATAAATAGGATTTTTAGTTCTGTGCCGTCTTTTCAGTCATGTTTTTCTATATACAGGGTGAGAAGAGAACTCATACGATAAGTAAAAAAACATATTTTATTGAAATTAAATTTTGAAAGCATTATGTAGGTTAATTAATATTTACCGTTCTAAAGAATATCCCCAAAAAAGTTGTGTTTTTGTAATGAAACACTCTATACAGGGTGACAATTTGAAAACGAACAGTATTTAATATTACCTCTACCGATGATAGTATGAAAATTTGGCGAAATACGTCAATTCAATCAAGGGGGACAATTTTTGAGGCATTTGTTGTCGTGTTACTTTCAATCCTTTGACCCCCAAGGCACCTACCCCTAAAATTTTAAATGGCAACCCCTATTTCTTTTACCATTTTTGTGTTCCTTATAAAGTTCTCAAAAAAATAATGCAGTTTATGTAGAATTCTATAAGAAACACAAAAATGGTAAAATAAATAGGGGTTGCTATTTAAAATTTTAGGGGTAGGTGCCCTGGGGGTTAAGGGGTTGAAAGTAACACGACAACAAATGCCTCAAAAATTATCCCCCTTAATATATGTAAATTGACGTGTTTCGCCAAATTTTCATACTATCATCGGTAGAGGCAATATTAAATACTGTTCGTTTTCAAATTGTCACCCTGTATATTAATTGATTTTCGAATGATTCTAGGGAAAAAAATAAAGGTAAGTTTTATTACAGAAGCAGATGACTAAATGCATATGAATGTAGGGATTTTAACATTTTTATCATTATTTTGTAAAAATGAAGAACAAGCTATAAATTTTAATAAGAGCTACATAAATTGTAACATACCGTGCATTGCAGAGAATTGAAATGATTCTATTAATTGGTGATGCAGTGTGACATGAATTCTCCATTGTATATTGGAATAATATACAGGGTTTCCATTTAAAAGAAAAAGTAACTTCAATATTTAGTTCTTCAATTTCAATATTAATTTTGTCTCGCCCTGTATAACTTTTCCAGTAAAATGTTAATCTGATTTAACGTACATACAATGGTTATTTTTAACAAATATACAGGACGATACAGGGTAAATTAAAATTTAGGTAGCTTTCATTTAAGTTTAAGATTATTCTTCATCTTTAGAAAATATTAAATATGCTTCTTTAATGAAATTGCCCTTTATTTTTTTCATGGAATCCAAAATTCAATTAATATATAGGGTGATTTATGACAAACACTCTTTTTATTGAAATTAAATATGTGCTCCCAAAACTTCATTTCAATACAAAATATCGTTCTCCTTATCGGAACTTCCGCGGCATATAAGAGGCGCCACCCTGTATACAGGGTTATTCACCACATACGACACGGACTATTGTAGCTAAGCGATGAGATTTTTACAAATTGTAAGTCTTGGGTTCGATGAAGGACTATTAGAGGTACAATTTAAAAATAATTTTACAAGATACAGAGTGTCCCAAATAAGTAAAAAATATCAAAGTTGTATTTTTTTAAATGGAACACCCTGTATATTATTACATTTTTAGTTTCTACGATTAAAATAAAGGTAAATTTGATTAAGGTTTATTATACTTAAACCCACGTCGTCTTTGAAATATTTTCAATTTTGTGAAATTGCAGTAAAATTTTAAGGCTTCATTCCTCCAAGGGTACCAAAGTTTTTAATACTAAATATTTACTGAAGTTTATTTATTGATCAGTTATTGTGTTGCAATAATAAAAATAATACTACCTTATACAGAGTGTCTAAAAATTTATTTTAAATAATTATTACCTTCAAACGGCAATAACGTGTTTAAGTTAAATGGAACACCCTATATATTTTACGAGAATCAGATGCACAATTTAATTGTCTATCAAATTATATTATACCATTTTTTACCTACCTCTTTAAGTTTCCGTAGAAAATGCATTTTCTTGTAATTTAGATTTTATTTATCAATATACCCATGGAATATTGACATTTTAGATTATTTTTAAAGATGTACCAAATTTTTAAAGAGTACAGATACTAATATTTTGGATATAATTCGTTTATTTCATTAAAAAATAAAAAAAACTGTTTAAATATTTGTTAAAGAGGGCCAATTAATATGATTCCAGTATTCAAACTGCATTAACTGACTGCATTGATTAATAATAATTGTTCCAAATACTAAAAAAACTGAATTTTGTATGGGTATTAGACAGTGTGATAAAAACTAACACCTTAAAAATGATATTTCATTTTTTAATAAATGCTTATTTATAACAAAGAGACTTTAATTTTAATAACTTATTATTATATTGATTTCTGACTCAATTCCACATGTATTTAGAATAATTTATTAACGAATACAATTAAGTATGTAATTAATTAGTATATGGGCGGAAATAATGGTGCTGTATTTAATTAATGGTATACTCTTTTATAAAGATTTAAATAGTTTTCTTTTTGCATACAACATTATTGTTTTTAACAAAACGATAATATTACTAGAATGTCAATAATAAAATGTCAATATTCCATGGGTATATTAATGAATGAGGTCTAAATTATACGAAAATGCACATCTACGAAAACTTGAAGGGATAGGTAAAAATGATGTAATACAATTTGATAGACAATTAAATTGTGCATCTGATTCTCCTAAAATATACAGGGCGTTCCGTTTAAATTAAACAAGTTATTGGCGTTTAAAGCTATAAATTATTTAAAATAAATTTTTAGACAATCTGTATAAGGTAGTATTATTTTTATTATTGCAACACAATAACTGATCAATAAATAAACTTCAGTAAATATTTAGTATTAAAAAGTTTGATACCCTTAGAGAAATGAAGCCTTAAAATTTTTACTGCAATTTCACAAAATTGAAAATATTTCAAAAACGGTAAGGTTTAAGTGTAATAAACCTTAATCAAATTTACCTTTATTTTAATCGTAGAAACTAAAAATGTAATAATATACAGGGTGTTCCATTTTAAAAAATACAACTTTGATATTTTTTACTTATTTGGGACAGTCTGTATCTTGTAAATTATTTTTAAATTGTACTTCTAATAGTCCTTCATCGAACCCAAAACTTGAAATTTGTAAAAATATAATCGTTTAGCTACAATACTCCGTGTCGTATGTGGTGAACAACCCTGTATAATAATCTTTTTTCTCTACCATATTTTTTATCTATCTATGATCTCAGGACATCTAGGCTGTATCTGCTTACGCGCACTCAATAATGACACTGTAATAACCCCCATTATACTGTACTCTTCTTTAATTTTGTAAAATAAATTAAAAAAATCTGTGCTGTTAATAATACTCAATACAAAAAGTCTGTAAACACTTTAGCCAATAACTATATACCATAATAACGAATTTCAGAAAAATATATATCAACGAGGCCCAAAAGAACCTTTTGTAATTTGTTTAAATAAATAAATAGGGTTAGTAATAAATAATAAATAAACTTAAGTCAGACTCTACTTGAAATGTTTTTAAGACTCAGAGAAATCAGTAAACATAGAGATATCCTGACATACTAACTAATTGCAAAATCAGTATAGTCTTGGTGAATTGTACGGTACTGCCACTGTCGGAGAATATTGTCACAGATTAAGTATACAGATAAAAATCTTATCCCTAATTCGTGGTACGAAAATTGTTTTTTATGACGATGTGCAAACGAGTCAAATTTCCTGTGCGCAAAAATAAACTCGCGTAAATAACAATAAACAGCGTAGGTAATAGAGAGATATCGCTAAACCGAATAGCGTGCATGGACCTTAATAAGGCCAGGTGTTATTTCCTCTACGTGAGGTGGTATTAACTCTCTTCATTTATAGTTATCGGATCGGAAAAAAATCTGTTCGCGTCGCATCCGCTATTTAAACTTAACCTAACTTTGAATTGAAAACTTTGAAATTGTTTTGTTTACTAGGTATTTTAAAACTAAAGGGCTAAAGTGCTTATTTCCAGTGCTTTATTGTCCAACGTCTGCCAATGGGTTTAGGACAACAAGCAACAAATTCTCTTAGAAGGGCTAAGTTGTCATCTGTTGTAAACCTAAGACTCTTTATAGGTTCTTTAGTATTGGAAGAGGTGCAATCCATATTTTGGGCCATATTTATTTAATTAAAACTAATCCCAGCTACTTAAATATCAAATTACCTAATAAAACTAAAGTAATAATTCAAAACAATTCAAACATAACCTAAAATAAAAGATCTCGCCGCGCCGGCCGGCCCCGGTTGTCAAATACCCGCACATGCCCATTTAAGCAATTTTTAAACGTTATTTAGAAATAGCGCTTGGTGTAATTGATCCGCAAATTACGTCAGGCGGTAACGTTATTAGCGGGTGTTGCGTTAAAAATCGACTCGCGCATATCGTAACCATGATAAAGTACGCGTAAATACAGCATGACGCTATTCGGTTTTCCGATATCTCTCTAATAACTGTGCCGGTCAGGCGCTGTGCACAATTTTAGAGGCCATAAGTGGGCGTGCTATGTGCGCAAACTAGTAACCTAACTAGTGCCCGATTCCGAAAATTGGAACCACGAAAAACAATAAAGAAAAAAAGTTTATAATCTGTATAATCTATGATATTGTGAACAGCGGAATAAACAAATAGACGCGTTTAAATAGCAAATACACGAAAAAAAAATAATATAATTATCCTAAAAGTGTTTGGCAGTATAATTTGCAAAAATTCTAAAAATAAGGAATAAGGAATTTTTAAATTCAACTGAAATGCACGAAGCCTAAAAGGAAAAAGACCCTCTACGCTTACTTGTTTCTCTAAGTCTCTCAATCAATACCAATATAGAATTTTGCCCTGACAATTTTTTAAACGCATAATACTAATTTTTTTCTGTATTAGGTACTCTTATTTTTTTATTTAACTTAAAAAAAATCTGTCCATGTATAAAAAAGTATAGATTATGTAGAAAAAAATACTTTTCAAAAAAAAATACCAGTTATATCTACAGGGGCTGAAAATTCCAAAACATGTGTTCAATGTAGTCGTTTAATTTTTCGAAAAAAAATAAAAGAAAAAATCAGATTTTGGATGTGTCCAGTTGTTTTAGAATTTTCTAGAACGATAAATTAGGAAGAAATATATAACGTAGGGACATATTTTTGCAAGATATTTCGGAAATAATAACTGTAATTATAAATAAGGACATTTTGAAATAAGAAATACTCACCAAACAGT